CTCTCTTGCGTGTAGTGGGAAACTCCGAACATCACCTTTTCGGTGGCGCGTTGAATGCGTGACAGTAGGGAACAATGGTACATACGTTAGATGTGAATAGTGAGACAAGGGGCGTCCCGGAACATCCCAAACCCTATTGACCAGGGAAGCCTGCCAACTTACCATGGAACTTTGAATGGAGACCTAGATAGATCGATAGAGTCTGCAAGGTTACTCACAAATATAGATAGCAAAACTGCAACCCGCATTTCACAAGTAAGTTATGAGCAGGTAAAGTTCATAACGATGCAGTAGGGTGGAGGCTTGGTGGTGAGCTGTGAAGCATAAGCGAGGAATCGCATACGTCGAACGAGTCGTGGTGGTTCAGCGGTAGGGCTCGACGTTCGACGACTTGATTCGACATATGCGATTCCTCGCTTATGCTTCACAGCTCACCACCAAGCCTCCACCCTACTGCACCATTACAAACTTTACCTGCTCATAAGTTGCTTGTGAAATGCAGGTTGCAGTTTTGCTATCTATATTTGTAAATAACCTTATAGACTCTATCGATCTACCCAGGTCTCCATTCGAAGTTCCATGGTAACTTGGCGGACTTACCTGGTGATTAACCAGCTCTCTCGTTAGATTTAGGGTCACGCTTTGGAAGCGCCTGGCCCTCTATCTTCCGCTTACTCATTTCCACCACAGCCTGATCCTATCAGTTGTCATTCTCGTATATTTAATATCCCATATCCGAAAAATCTATGAGCTTAGGGGGAAAAAAGTAGACATACTTGTTTTCTCGCAGCTTTTGTCTCTTATATACATCAGACTGTTCCGCAAGAAGCACTGTAAGTACACTGGAAATCCCTGAGATGTGGTAGGCGTGGCTGCGCACTTCAACTGAACGGCTCTTGAAGAGGCATTTTCATTCTGACACAATTGTTCGTGTCTCTGTCCCACACAGAACAAGATACAGTTATCTCAAACTGAAATATCCCATGAGCATGTTGATCAACGATGGTGGGCAAAATAAACGACGGTATGGAAAGTGTTTATTCGTGAAGAGATAATATCATCAAGTTAAGTAAGATAAAGCAAAACCACGTAGTCAACTGATAGAAGTCTATTCTTAAACCCATTTCCTAGAAGACTAAACTTCAGCAAAGATGGCAAAGGGGACATTTAGATTATGCAAAATGTACAGAAACGCAATATGCGAAGAACAGCTACATGTGAATCAAAGGATGTCAAGGTTTTCGGAGGGGAAACTCAGCACCGCAATACCAAAAACATTTGGCTAAGAGTGTCGTGTTAATCTTCAAAAAATAAAGAGAAAAGCACGAGCAATCACAGAAATCAGAAAATGTGCACGTATGTTCTGAAATGTCCATTGAAAGTCAAATGACTGCGAAGAAGACAACATATGTAAACAGATAGAGTTAATAAAACTAATCAAAGATATGGTCAAGCAAAGATCTAATCAAATAAAATAGCAATCATGTAAATAATGAGTTATTTAAAATTAGGATTTGTGAAACCCGACTGTGCATTTCGCATAAACTGTAGTATATCCTTCTTCGTTATTATTCCCAGTACTTTCCCATTTTTCGTCACTAATACCTAAAAAAAAGATATTTTCAAGAGTAATTGTAGGGTCTGAGGAAATTGGTCGATCGAGCAGTGTTATCTACCATATCGTTTGAAAAAGGGCGTTTGGAGCGTCCCCAACCTGTTTTCTACGGATACTGAAGCGCGTAAGGCTGCGTTCATACTTTGCGACAGCGTGCAGCAGCGGCCACCAATGTCCAAGAATGTATGGTAAGGTAGGAGGGTAGCATACGGCTGGTAGAGTATGGAAATAGGAGGCAGCAGTCAGCTGGAGGCATCGTGAAATTGCGGCGTGTGCAACCGCACCGTACAACTATTAATGCGCAGAATTGTGAGTTTAATATTTATATGGTGCTGTGTACTAGTATGGT